AACAATCGTAAAATTTCCGACAGTCCGCTGTGCATCGACTTACACACGTCTAGTTTGATGAAAATGGACAGTATATGCACATGTTTTGTGGGATACATGATCATATCGCGTTGTGTGAAATGGAAAATTATTATGTAAGTATCTAACTGTTTTATGGCTTGTAATTGTTTTGTTTTTTCAAATGTAAATCTTGTCTAAATCTTAAAAATTATTATTTTGTAGGTCCTATTAGAAATCGCTGATGTTAAGTTTTACATAAGATGGAGGAACAGAAGGTTAACGGTGACAAAGAAGAGCATGGGTATAAAGTCAATCAACCAGAGGAAATAAAATTATATGGAAAGGAGCTCAACCTTTCTGGGGATGCTTCATTCTTAAGGTGGAAGAGTTATAGTGCAAATTCTCATGTAATACAAGAAAATACGGGTGCATCGTTGCTAAGAAAATAAACTGGACAGTTTTGGGTGCGATTTGTCATCATTTTTAATGCTTAAAAGTATGTTTTATGTATGTTTGCATTAGAACCTTAGCTTGTAATTACAGTTATCCAATAAAATTTCTGAAAACTTAATGACATATGTTTTTAACTCATACAGATTATGCAACAGTTTAATACATTTATTATTATAAAACTTATAACCAGTACTAGATGTTCTAATAACGATAATATACACATTTACAGTTATTGCTATTATTTCGTAAAGGCTATAAAAAACGTTGTATACTAGTTATACAATAATTTAATAAAGAGTAAGGTTTATAGTCATTATACAACTGTGCTAGCAATACGCGTTTTATATCCAATATTCACCTCTTTAACTGTCACATATAGTATACAATGGTCTTATAATGGTATATAGAATTCTAATAAAGAATAAAATGCATTTCTTTCAGTGTAATTCCAGCCCAGACGTTTGATTTTTGAGGCATTTGAGTATAGCATTCACGAATTCAGTGGGGATTTTCGTCAGCCCAATAACCGCAGTTGTGCCGATTGACGTGCTCAGGTAATATAAACGTAGATTCATCAGAAAACAGCACCCATTCCAAAGTAATTTGACCACCATCAATAGAAGTGATGACTTATGGCTTCTTTCAGAATGCTTAAAACGCTTGTGTGACTGACACCTTGAACGCGAGCAATTTTCCTAGCTGAAGTAACAGGATTTTCTTCATCTTCCAACATGTTCAACCAGGTTTCTTCTTCGATATCGAGATTCGATTTTGCTAATCGTACTTCGGTTAATTGGAGGCATTTCTGGATGAACTGCAGCAAGTAAACAAGGGACTTCAACCTATGTTCCGCTTTTGTCCCCATATCCGATCATCATTACAATTCCGATAAGATGCGTCTCGGTTAAATAGGCATTTTCTTATTTTTGGTTTTTAATTTACACGTTGAAATGCAAATAGGTATCTACTAACAAATCAATCACATTCAGCTAAAATTGGCCAAAAATCTATTGAGCAAGTGATAAAATATGGAATTGTTATTGTGGCTTATCAAGTAAGAAAAAAATGTACCTATACATTAAAGAAGTTTCAGTAAACATTTCCTTATTTTATGTTTTTCCAACACATTGTTTATAAAAAGTATCAAAGAAATACGTAATTGTATTTGCAATTGAAAAAGCTCTAAAATAAAGAATTGATCAATCTACCCTTCCATTTAAAAAAAAGTTGTGGGCTGCTGCAACCCCCCACACAATTTAAAAAATAAACAAGTCTCTTTGTAATACAGGGTGTCCGGTAAGTACCTCCTAATCTCTCGGGAGTGTATAGGGGAGGTCAAAATAAAACTAGTCCTTCATATAATTTTTTTCCTAATGTGCCCCCTAACGGAGTTATGGGGGGTCAAAGGGGTACCTAGAAATTAACGTTTAGGGTTATAACTTTGAAACCACCCTGTATATTTTAATAAAATTTTCGTACGTTGTATTACACATGGAGCTCTACGATTTGATGCTAAAATCAACTTTTTGCTATTATCAGGTGTCCAGAAACGGACTGGCCCTATCACAATTTTTCTCAAAATTTTGACAGAAGTAATTTTATCAAACTGAAAATATTATTATTAGATACTCTGAAGGTTTTTCTTTAAAAATGGTACTCTTTATTTATTTCGAAAAAATGAACGGTTTGCGAGATAAATCGGTTTTGAAAAAAATTGGTAACAAATACAACAACAATTAAAATTTATTTTTTTACAATAAAATCATTCCCGCTAGTGCCAGCCTACAGATTCACCATAAACATTTACTGGTGGTGAATTAAGGGAATGAATAATGCCGTTTCTTGTAAAATCAACATCTATGACCAAAATACATCTACAAATTATTATTGCTCTTGTCTCCATGGAGTTCTTTTCTATTGTTTTCGTTGTTAGACCCTGTTGATTTTAAAGTACTTGTCAAAGGCGCGTGACAGAATAAAAATTCAATTTTATTGTGGTATTCGTTTTAAGCCGTTAGAAATAACATTTAAAAATGGAAGAATATTCCTGTGCAGAATATGCTGATATGCACCTAATTTATGGGGAAGCATTATGCAACTCCGTGGAGGCAAGAAGACTTTATGAGGAAAGGTTTCCGGGTCGACATTTGCCGAGTCCAAAAACTTTTGAAAGAGTTGATCGTAGTTTAAGAGAAACAGGTAAAAAAAAATAGTGAAAAACGTTAGTGAAACTAATTTCTTCCGAATCCTTTATTTAGGAAGCTTTTTGCCACGCCGTGGTGGAGCAGGAGCCCCGAGGAGAGTACGAGACCCTCATGTAGAGGAACAAATATTGGAAGACGTTGCTAATAATCCTTCAAATAGCATAAGGAAGCTTGCGGCGCAAAACAATGTTACAAAATGGGCTGTACATGAAACTCTGAAAGAACAATTGCTTTACCCGTACCACATCCAAAAAGTACATGCTATGTCTCCAGATGATTATCCAAAAAGACTTCAATACGCCAATTGGTTTTTACAGCATCATATTCGGAATCATAATTTTGGTACATCTATTTTGTTCACCGATGAAGCAGGTTTTACAAGAGACGGCATAATTAATTCGCATAATCTACATGTCTGGGATGAAGAAAACCCTCACGCTTTAGTTCAAACTCGCTACCAACAAAGGTTTATGGTGAATGTGTGGGCTGGCATTATCGGGAATCATTTGATTGGTCCATTTATTCTGGAGCAAAGACTTAATGGTGCTCTTTATTTGCAATTTTTAGAGGAAAATCTAAATATTTTGTTAGAAGAAGTGCCCCTTCAAATAAGAACTGAAATGTGGTACATGCATGACGGTGCACCACCCCACTTTGATCGTTTAGTACGTCAACATCTGACGAATGTTTTTGGTGATCGATGGATAGGTCGAGGCGGACCTGTATTATGGCCACCTAGGTCGCCCGACCTAAACCCATTAGACTTTTTTCTGTGGGGTCATTTAAAAAATAACGTTTATTCAACACCCGTAAATAGTAGAGAGGAACTTCTGCTGAGGCTAACACAGAACTGTGACCATCTCCGCAATAATCACGGAATATTATTTCAAGTGCACCGGGAAAACATTCGTAGGATTAGAAAGTGCATTGAAGTACGGGGTGCTCATTTTGAACATCTACCGAAGTAACATTTAGGTACCTTTGTTCATTGTTGAATGTTCTTTGTTGCATGTCTTGTAAGTAAGTTATTTTTCAAATGTTATTTTTAATTGGTCACTACTTGCTCATAAAGTATAGCCAACCCGTTCAAAGATTTCTGGACTTGATAAAGTTAAAGAAATTAAATGCATGAAATAATATGTAAAAAAAATAAATTTTAATTGTTGTTGTATTTGTTACCAATTTTTTTCAAAACCGATTTATCTCGCAAACCGTTCATTTTTTCGAAATAAATAAAGAGTACCATTTTTAAAGAAAAACCTTCAGAGTATCTAATAATAATATTTTCAGTTTGATAAAATTACTTCTGTCAAAATTTTGAGAAAAATTGTGATAGGGCCAGTCCGTTTCTGGACACCTGATAATAGCAAAAAGTTGATTTTAGCATCAAATCGTAGAGCTCCATGTGTAATACAACGTACGAAAATTTTATTAAAATATACAGGGTGGTTTCAAAGTTATAACCCTAAACGTTAATTTCTAGGTACCCCTTTGACCCCCCATAACTCCGTTAGGGGGCACATTAGGAAAAAAAATTATAGGAAGGACTAGTTTTATTTTGACCTCCCCTATACACTCCCGAGAGATTAGGAGGTACTTACCGGACACCCTGTATACCCCATTAAAAATAAAAATTTACATGTTTCAGGAGTTGTGCGACAAACCTTTATTTATTAAGTTGCATAATTTATTCCTGTTAAACTTTCCACTCAGTATACACAGGTATACACAATATAAGGTCTATATTAAACCGTAGCGTTCGCCGTCAATTAAAAGCTACATATTCCTCCCATAAAAAACCGATAGATCCATTAACTTACGAGAGACAAATTACCCGGCGCAAACACGCCTTCCTCAAACAGGATTAGCTGAATTATTTGTTAACATGTAAGCTTATCTGAACATTCACTCCCGAGAAGCATTTCTCTGTGTCGGAATCAACTACTAAGAAACAATAATTCGGGGAGGGGGGGGACGCCCGCCGACAGAGCACCCCCCGCGAGAGGGAGAGCGAGGCCCTCGTACACATTGCGACACGTGAAAAGTATCCCTAACAGGCTCCTGACTTTAAAACCGTTAAGAGAGCGACAGAGAGGGCGCTACGAGCGGGGCCCGCGTCCGACGGAAAGAACCGGAATCAGGTAAAGTTAGGGGTGTTTCTACCCGAACAGGGAGTGTCCTCTATTCCGCCGTCCTCCCTGTCCTGCCGGCTCGTTGCGAACACTTACAACGGGCGCTTCGTCACAGACCTGCCCTCTTGGTAGACGTTTTATATTGCCGGTGTCTGAAGTGCAGTGATTGTGAGCGCGCGTATATGGTTTAACGCGGTTTAGCGCGAACACCATGAGTTCTCCCGTGAGGGACGTCGAGGTGAACGTGGTGTCCAGTCCGGAGTCCACCAGCAGGAATAACTCTCCGGAACCGGACAGCTACAGACTTATCAGCCACAGCTCGGGCGTCACTACGTGCTTCCCGGTGATCAAGACTAGTGAGGAGGATGAGCGCGGGGAGAAGGACGCGAAGGCGACGGCCACGCAGAAGACCTCCAGCGGTTCCACCAATTTCTCCATCTCCAGCATCCTGTCCAGGACGGAGCCGACGGTGAAGAAGAATGGGTTCCTGCAGGGGGTGCAAAACGGGCAGAGCATCTTGGAGACGGGGTTGGCGGCTGGTTCCGACAGTGCCGTGTTGTCAAGGTAATTGGCATTTTTTCTTCTCTTAAGGGGTTCGCCTTTGGCCCAAACAGCACACCGATGTAAAGCTTAAAAAAGATTTGTACTTTTATTTATCTTCGAATGTTTTAGCGACATCTAAATGTTCGCCAAAAAAACCCATTTTAATAATAATCGGAGTGCATTTATTGCCCAAAAGGCCAAGTGTTCCAATTAAAGGACAAAAAAGGGTAACCGTTCAAGATATAATTGTAGATATAGAAGGCAACCTATTAAGTATTCTTCTAATCTGCAAAGACTGCCTTTTAAATCGATCTAATGCAGCCTATGCTCCCTATTACTTGTTTGGCTAATAACCATCTCGATTCGGAAACTTAAAATTTTAAGAAAACGACGTTGAATTCTTTCAATTTTGTTTAGTTTGCGTCTGGTAGTAAAGGACCTTACAAGATTAAAGTTTTCTGATTTAGAACAAACTGGTGAGTAAAACAGACATTGCGTTGCAGTAACGTTTCTGACTATAGAACTCGAAGCTCTATTGGCCGTATTTATAATTTCATTGACATGATCTGTGAAGGACAGTCTATTGCAATAGATCACACCTAGATGCTTAACATTATCACAACCTACCAGTAACGCATTTTCAAGCGTGTGATTAAATATTAGCGCTTCCTTTTTGGAAGTAAATGAACTGACCTTACACTTATCTATATTAATAGGTAATTTATTATACTCACACCATCTATTTACATGATCTACTAGCTCGTGTAGTATTAAACAACTTTCCAAATTAGATAAGTTCAAAAATTGCTTTAAGTCGCCAGTAAAAAGTATAGTCCAAGGAACCAAGGGTTTCCCTTCCTAATTCTTTCAGATAGAACCCATTGACGTAAAACTTGGACTGTAAGTAGAAAATAGCTCAAGAAACAAAATTTATATAGTGCCGATGAGCGCTTTTGCCCAGGGGGTGGAAAATTAAATATTGAAAATAACCTCAGGAATCGATAAAGCAATCAATTTTAAGCAAAAAGTATACATTATTCGATAATTCAATATTTTTTGAGTTATTGATGATTGAAACTACATTTTTATTAAAAAAAGACGTTTTTCAGTAGTTTTTGTCGAATAACTCGGAAAATAAACATTCTATAAAAAAATACCTAACAAAGAAAATGAAGCTTATAGAAAAAGAAAAGGATTGATTGTTTTTTTATTTATCGAGGTGCAATAGGTGCTGAGATACGGCTGGTTGAAGATAATTTCATGTCCGCCAGAAACTAAATTGGAAGCATTTAACGTAAAATAACTAAAAAAAAATCTATTTTTCAAGAAAAATGCACAGAGCACTTTTTAAAGTACTTTAAAAAATCTTGCCTCTAAGTCATTAGCATAAAAATTAATAGTTATTATCAAAATAAATTGTTAATTCGCTTTTTCGGAAAAAAAATCTATAAAAACTGATGAATTTTTCACGAGATTTAAAATTAAAGGTAATCCTTCTACAATTTACATTTTTTATGCCCTAACAATATATTATACAAGTTTAAGCCGTTTAGAATGCATATTATTGAAAATATTACGTCTTGATTTAAAAAAAAATATTTCAAAAAAAATAACATACTTTTGAAAATAACTTTAAAAATAAAAAATATACGAAAAATATTCAAGAGTACAAAAGTTTAAATTTTTTTTTCACAGAATATTTTTTTTCTATTTGTGTAGGATAAAAATTAACAGAGATATCGCTGCTAGAAGTTTGCAGTTGGGGACGAAGGTCATGTTTTTTAAACCCTTTAGCTTCAAAAATCCCAAAAATAACGTTTTAAAAAATATTCAATTTTACAGTATCTACCTTTAGCTGTCGAAATTTTCCTTAAAATCTTTTTTGGATCGTCTTAATAACTTTAAAATTAAGGAAGTTATCGTTAAAAAAACAACGAACGGTACCTTACCGCTTCAATTTTCGGAGCATATCAATATTTGAGTTAGCCACAACTTTAGAGCAATTATAGTATAGGACTTTTTGCATGAAAAAAATATGGAGAAATAATTATTTTGAATATTGCATAAAATAAAGTAAATGGCGAGAAAGAACAATACAAAAAAAATATTTTGCATTGTTTATTGGATTACTATATTTTGTCATTGGGGGTAGTTTTTAAGGGTTAAAAAAACAATGCAATACATTATAAACTCTATAAATATAAATAGGTAAAATAATTTAATTTACCCTGTTTGTACTATCAAATCATTTCAAACTGTTAAAACATTTTTTTTTATATTTTGTTATTAGGGTAGTGTTTTAAGGATTTAAATATAGTAATAAATTATTTATAACACCATAAACTATTGAAAAGATTCCTATCTATAATATATGCGCTATTAAAGAAACTATTAATTTTATATTTTTATCATTAAGGGTGGTTTTTAAGGGTTGAAACTTTATAAAAATATCTTAAATTATAACGCACAATATAAAACAATATTTATTTTATATATTAAGTTATGATTTACAGGGTGAAATAAGCTTAATTCCAAATTTTCATAAAAATCGGATCTATCCGAAAGTATTCAGAGGTTTTACCCTATTTTCCTCTTTGTTCCCTGGACTAATATATGATTAGATTTTAGAGACTGATTGTGAGATAAATCATTAATAAATAAAACAAAAGCAAGTGGCTCTAAATTTGATCATTGGGGTACTCCAGATGCTGCTATAAAATATTAGATTTAAATTCTTTGTATAAACCATATAATTCTTGTTGAGAACGATATTATTGAACGACAAGAATCAGATTATCGCTTAACACAAATAAAGTAAACTTATTAAAAAATATGCCGTAATTAATGTTGGAGATCTTCGAGAAATCTGTACCATATCTACACCACATAACTCGTTTTTTGTTGTCCATATGATATGCTGTATACCCAGTAAATTGAGCTAGATTTGATACAGTACAGTACCTGCAGATGTTGGTTCGGCGAAATATAACCCTTAACAATACTGAAAATTAGCGCATTAGCGAAGTTAGACAAAATTGCTATAGCGGAAAATTTGTGGGATAGCCGCTTTTAAGTATAAGGTATATTCTTGTTATGTTCTAGATATCGGGAAAGTTGCTGAAGAAACTACAAGATATAATTGAAGTAGTTGTGGTGCTATAAAAAATCCCAACTGTTATTAGAAAACTGGGGGTTTGATCATCTCAGTAAACTGAAACAAGTTTTAATTAGACTGACAGATGAGTTTTGATAAATTTGAAGTATTAGTACAATCTTGTAAGAAAAGACAGACGAGGACACACAAGGGGGTAGAAATACAGGGTGTTTATTAAGTACTTGTACCAACTTTAAACTAATTTTAAGACAAAAAGTTCATATGAACATGGGTCCGCATAGGCTTGGTCCATTTTTATGTAGAATTTTATGCTCTACAACTTTTATAAGAAACTTTTTTCTAGCTCTTAACCCTTTTGAGACTTGAAAAAAACCGTTATTTACCTTTTTTCACCCCTAACCGGGAGAAATTACTGTCACTTATTGTTATTATAAACCTCAAACTATCTTGTATCAAAAATTCCGGCAAGTTGACCAAAAATGCGATTTAAAAGCCCTTTTAATTGGTCTCTTAATTATGTAGCTTGATTCCCGCAACACAAGTGATTTAATCAACGTAACATTCAATTTGCAACAAATTATTACTGAACCCACTCGAGTATGAGAAACAACACATTCTTTTATAGATTTGTTATTTTATAATTCTGATAATATTGCAGATTAAGGTGTTAAAGATGTTAATATTCCTAATCATATACTGTGAATTGTTTAACTTTTCTAAAATTTTACTTACAAAAATTTACAAAGCATTAATATTGACCTATTTCAGTGTGATTTAGAAGAACTACCTTTGAATAGAATTTATGGTATACGTGATATTGACGATAAAATTGTGGACCCAGTACAGAACCTTGTAGCACTCCTGGAGAAATAATCTACTCCGTTTTGAAATCAAAAATAAAAAATAAAAGAAATATTATACAGTGACAATAAGCGATAAATAAATCCTGAGATCAAGCAGACGGATAAATAAAAGTTTTGAAATGATGACTGATTTTACATTTAAAAAAATGCAAACATAGTTTTGCAAAACTGTAACGTAACAATAAGATGTTAGATACCGCGTGTAGTTTTTTATTTATGCATGGCATTTCCTTCGTACATTTTTTATTTGATTGTGTATTTCTGTCGCATTGAAAAGAAAATATAAATAAATATTACCTTGCGTCAAAAGGGCCAGTCAATTGATTTAATTTTATAAACTTAGTTTTGCTTAATTAGAAGTATCCTACGTTACGAAAAGAGATAAATTGTTCGCTACATATAAAACCTTTTCTAGTTTTCTTTCCCAAAACTTTTAATATGAAAACGACTAAATTCATTAAATAATTCATAAACAATTAAATAAAAAAAGAAACCTTCAATCGTATCGCAAATACTTTTAAATCAAAAATGTAATAGTATAAAATGTTTGTATGTAAATTAGCGCTCATCGTTTTGCATATTTATTTTTACGTCCATACGATAAGAATCTGCATTATATTACGTTAAATATTAATACCACAAATAAGAGTCTCATGTAAACAGTGGGGAAATTTTACAGAAAATTGAACATTAAGGTCTCTAAAACCCCTGGAAGAAGACGCATGAGGCGATTATAAAATACCTGCAGTTTACTTATCCTTTCCAACGTCAGATTATCCTCTTGTGCTTACCTGATGTCTCATTCTTTTAACGATAAGTATATACAAGTCTATACTTTGGAAGTTATTTGGAAAGACCTCCAGATGAACTAAAAAATTATCAGAAAGCGTTTTGTAGACGTAGAAGACGTAGAAAACGCTCATTCGACATGCGTGCATATACATATATAGCAGATCGTGCAAATCGCTATATTGAGTCCAAAGGAGACTATTTTGAATAAAATAGATTGGTTCTGACAAAACAAATTTTTGTGGTTCTTTTTT